CCAGTAGTCTTTGTTTTATTTACAACTTCGAAAAATGTTTTTTACAGCGTACCTATCTTTCAGCAAATCAGGTGGCCAATTTTACATCACCTAATTAATATTCATAAGGCAAACTGAAAAAGTTCATAATGAGATTCCCATACTTTCAGATCATGTCCTATGTCCCTATGTTACACTGAGCTATAGAGTGATTTCCCGAGGTGTCCTTGAACAGTCCCGCTCTGCCATGGTTTTGTCAGAGATATTTTCTGTCATTGAATGGCCTCCTCTCTATGTTGGAAGGAGTTCTCAGATAATCTCTTACACACCCAGTTTGTCTCGTATTGCGTACTGCCCCCTTTAGGCCTGCCCTGGCACAGCTGCAGGATAATGAGGTCATGGAGGCCCTCTTGCCAGCAGGAATTTGAGCTTACTTAGGGAAAATTACTCTGGGTTTGTGCAGCCCAAACTGATTGTGCTAATTCCTAGAGGGCTGAATAGGTCGACTTGGCCGCTGGCCTTATTTGTCGGGGGTTAAAACCATCTTTTCAAGCTGTTGTTGCTCCCATCACTGGTCATCATGGGTCAATCCCCTTTTCTCAGGTGGGGATTGTGTAGGGGGCAGGGACATTTTGGGAGGGGGCGGAGTGGGTCAGTATGAGGGTCATTTCAAAATGTTTTTTTCCTTCATTTCGGTTCCAGACATGCTTCTCTGTACATCACCGCAGATCATCGTCTCAATTACCGAAGTCATCCGTTGTTCTCTCTCGTCAGTGATTTTTCGACTGCTCGGGAGAACATGTAGACTGTAAAGTCTGCACTGCAGTGTGTGTCATGTCTGCTTTTCATCTTCCTATTAAACCCACGGCCTCTTGTCTACCACAACCATCATAAGAACCTTCCAGACTGCTGTTTTTTTTTTCTACGCGCACTCACCTTTCCTCTCACCCTCTTCCTCTTTCTTCTCATAGTTCTTTCTAGGGATGTCAGAAATACAGGTACTTCGGTACCAAGTCAATAATAAAACTACAGATTCAATGTTTTTATAGCTGAGTTCTACACCCACTTTCAAATGCTCACATTCATTTTTTTTTTTGTGAAATAAAACTCTGCTTAAATTAATTACAAATTAATTAAATATAAAAATCTAGATAAACTAGTCAACCTCAATTGGGACCATTGTTAGCTATTCCTAATATTTAATAATCATGCAGTAAAGACTATGCCAATCATTTTTATTTTAAATATATTTACTTTTGGTTTATTTATTTATTTTTTATGTCATTTCTAGATTATTACTTAAACTTGATAGTACTGATACAGACCGTAAAAACTTAACATTTTAAAATTCTATCTCTCTTCAGTTTTTGTTCTATTGCTCGTTATTTGTTTCTTTGTTCCTGATTTTATTTAATCAGTGTTTAATTGATAAATACTTAAAGCTACATGCCGTTTTTTATTTAATTTGGTAATAATTATATATTTATTTTGCATTCTAAATAAAGTGTTTTGTCCATTAGCATATTAGTTTTTGATGTGGTATCAAAAATGGCATCAAAAATCATGAAATTTCGCCTACTGACATTTTGGTATCATGGCAACCCTAGGTAACTCTCTGTTCCTCTCTCTGCTGATCAAGTTCAGCTTTTACACCTTTACTCAACATCTCTGCATCCCTAGAGGGAGAAAAGAGAGAGTGAGGGAGGTGAAGAACACAATGAGAGCCATTAGGTGATGAATCATTTTTTTTCTACACCTCCAGTGTGTTGACTAATGACTGCCGTGAGCACTAAAAAGGTCATGTTTTTGGATTCAGTCCATGAGTATGAGTTTGTGTGTATTTCTGTATGTGTTTACATGTGAAGGGGATACATCTTTTATATGTTGTGTGTATTCTCTTAAGATTATTCAAGTCAGTTTTGGGTAAATGTAATATTTGGCTTCGTAGTAAGAGGCTCTTTGGATGAAATCCAGGGGTTTTCATTGTTCTTGATTTTAACATAAATTTCTTGTAATGTTTTTGACCTTTTTGAGGCGAATTGCAAAGTTTTGAAATTCATGAATTTTAAAGAAGTTTTCTGGGTTTAATTGAAGTTGAGCTGCATGGACAGCACCTGTGTCATGTTGTCGATTGCCACAGAAAATAATTGTGTTTGTAGTGCACTTATAATGGAGGTCTGTGGGGCAAGGTATTCTACCAGAATAGATTAAAGTAAAACAATTAAAATACATTCTTTCACAAGTATAGCCACAAGATTTGATCATTTATGTATGTTAAATGTTACTTACTAACCTTGTATTTTCAAAGTTACATTAAGTTTTTTTTTTCTTCTCATGTGTACATGTATGTCCAATAATACATAGACAAGAAGTACACTACCATACAAAAGTTTAAGGTCAGCATATTAGAATGATTTCTTAAGGATCATGTGACACTGAAGACTGGTGTAATGATGCTGAAAATTCAGCTTTGACCTCATCATAGGAATAAATTGCATTCTAAAATATATGATAAATATAATACACTGAGGGAAGAATCTAAATGAATTTTGGTGGTAATTGAAAGCATGTCACAGATACTGTCAATAGAGATCGATTTAAATTGAATGGAGGAAATTTCGTACAAATCCTTAAATCTGTGGCAAACATCATTGCACAAAAGTGCTTTGAACATAAACTACAAATACATTAGGCAACTGGCAAATATGGAGCCCCACTTCAGCCGCAGTTCCTTGGTATCAAGCTTCACCTAAAATGAAAATGTTACCCTCAAGCAGAAAAGCTATTGAATGTTTGCTGGCACCCCTCGGTCGGCATGTGCTCCTCGGCCGTCTGCTGTAATGTTTTCCTAAGAACGTAATAATCAAGAGAGATTTCCCAAACCTGATCCAGGCCGACCCAGCAACAGAATCCCAGGTAACAACCAGAAATAACCCGGGACACTTATGATCTTAACCCTGGGTTAAAATCTGTTTTTTAATTCAGGATTAAGGCCACTTTTAATCCTGCGTGAAGCAACATTTCACTGTAGCAATTTTGAAAAGATGTTAGCTGTTCACCTGGATTGTGAAACCCTGCTCCAGAAGAGGCACTAAACCAGAATTGCAGAGTGAAACAGCAAAAATGTTTTGCAACAGACAGCCAATCATAAACTAAATAATGGTTGCTTCATTAAATATTTATTTTTTATTGTTTATTTTTATTGTTTTTTATTGTATAGGACAGTTGACAGGAAATTGGAGGGAGAGAGAAGGGAAATGGGTTGGGTACATGACCCAGGTCAGACTCAAACCATGGCCCCTGTGAGCATAACAGCTCCGTATGTCATGAGTAACATGCACTCATTAAATATCGAAGGACTTTGTGCAGTTGCAAAATTTTTCACACTGTTTAGGTTTAGTGTCTTGAGGGAAACAGTTAAGTGATGCCTAATGCTTCTCTGCATTGTCCGTTTAATTTTTGTCTTTATTTTTGTAGTGATGCAATATGGAATATGTAAACATAAAAGAAGTTGAAGTAAATTTACTGAAATGAAAACTTTTTGAAATGAAAAATGTAATAATGAATACCTCCACATCTCTACTGAAATAAATTTAAAGCTAAATACACTTAAGAAAAATGGTTCTAAACAGTACCAGAAAAGGGTTCTTTGGCTTGTAACAATAGCAGAACCCTTTTTAGTGCAAAAGAATACCTTTTTTATAGGGTTCCATATAGAACCATGCTTTGAAAATACTATATACGACCTTATTGGTGTTATAAATAACATTTTTAATGATAGTTTTTAATGAATATTAGTATGTTAATATCATTAATATTAGTATTATTTGTATATATTATTTATTAATATTGTTTTTTACCCCTCTATCTGCCAGGTTTTATAATATCTTGAAGTGTCTATTAGGGTTTTACATAAAATCAACGACAATAACAACAACAACGTGTCAATTAGGTACTTTTTTTAATGACGTGATATTGTAGCAAAAATGACAGTGTTCCAACAACAGTTAATAGCAGAATACATTAATGAACGGCAAAGGACATTGAACATATATAGATGCTTAAAGAAATAAAACAAAATAGAACATAAAATAGTGTATTGAAGACCTTCTATGATGCCTTTAAGTTAATCATTATCTGTATTTTGGTGCGATTGAATGGCAGTTTCTCTCTGCAGATGATGAGGTTGTAGGACGCGACAGCATCTGAAATGCACAATTGAGTTTAGATATACAATGTGTCTCTTTTCATTTGTTTATGTGAAAACAATTGTTTATGAAGGCCAAAAGTAGTACGTGAGCATTTCACAATGTTAAAAGGAAAATGTAATATAAAGTCAAGGGATAGCTGGGTATGTTTATGCATAAACCCTAGTAATAAATAAAATGACTTTTTAGTAAGAATTATGGAGTAACTTTCTAGCAGAATGGTGTGTCCAAAATCTTGTACCACAAGCTAATTTTCTATCACAATTATGATACATTGATGACATAGTAATCCAGTCTGAAAAGTTACTTTGAAACAATGTGTATTGTTTAAAGCACTGTATGAATAAACCTGACTTGACCTACTACAATGAATCAAATGTTAATTCAACAGATTCTATCAAAACGTGTGTAATTTAAATTGTTTGATAGTTGAGACAGGCCAAAATCAGAGGGGAATACAGAAATGTTATTCGTTTAAAACATGCTATATTTCATTAACATTATGTTAGTTTGGCAAGAATTTCTCATAGTCATTACAACAAAAACATGGATTTGTGCCTCTGATGATTAATTTAAAAAAATCAATGGGACACCAACATGTTATTTATTCATAGAAAGTGCCAGTTACACAGTTATGCTCACTTTTCCTTTACATGAGTGAGTGGCTGCACATTGCTGTTAAGTAACGGGGAATCATAAACCAGTGTTTTATTGCTAAGTCACAGGGTTCCAGTCAGCCGTCATTGCACACCAATGGAAATGTTGAAAGAACCTTGACATTAATATTATGGGGGGTTTTTTTCTTTCCCAAAGCTACCTCTGATGGTACAAAAGAAGGAATCGACAGCATGAGAGGAGGCGTCTGCGTGACGCGAGGGATGAAGCTGGTTCTCAAAGTGGGACAGAGTGAGTATCATCATTACCTCCAAAAACAAATCAATGAATGAACCTAAGCACTGAGGGAGAGTCAAAATTCAATAAATGTTGTGTCAATAACAAGCTCACTCCTGTCCACAATTGAAGAAATTGAATCCTACATCAAAATGTGCTGAATGTTTTTTTTTTTTTGCTTTCATAGCTGCATATGGCCTTCCCCCAAAGCCCAAACCTGATCCAGGCCGACCCAGCAACAGAATCCCAGGTAACAACCAGAAATAACCCGGGACACTTATGATTTAACCCTGGGTTAAAATCTGTTTTTTAATTCAGGATTAAGGCCACTTTTAATCCTGCGTGAAGCAACATTTCACTGTAGCAATTTTGAAAAGATGTTAGCTGTTCACCTGGATTGTGAAACCCTGCTCCAGAAGAGGCACTAAACCAGAATTGCAGAGTGAAACAGCAAAAATGTTTTGCAACAGACAGCCAATCATAAACTAAATAATGGTTGCTTCATTAAATATTTATTTTTTATTGTTTATTTTTATTGTTTTTTATTGTATAGGACAGTTGACAGGAAATTGGAGGGAGAGAGAAGGGAAATGGGTTGGGTACATGACCCAGGTCAGACTCAAACCATGGCCCCTGTGAGCATAACAGCTCCGTATGTCATGAGTAACATGCACTCATTAAATATCGAAGGACTTTGTGCAGTTGCAAAATTTTTCACACTGTTTAGGTTTAGTGTCTTGAGGGAAACAGTTAAGTGATGCCTAATGCTTCTCTGCATTGTCCGTTTAATTTTTGTCTTTATTTTTGTAGTGATGCAATATGGAATATGTAAACATAAAAGAAGTTGAAGTAAATTTACTGAAATGAAAACTTTTTGAAATGAAAAATGTAATAATGAATACCTCCACATCTCTACTGAAATAAATTTAAAGCTAAATACACTTAAGAAAAATGGTTCTAAACAGTACCAGAAAAGGGTTCTTTGGCTTGTAACAATAGCAGAACCCTTTTTAGTGCAAAAGAATACCTTTTTTATAGGGTTCCATATAGAACCATGCTTTGAAAATACTATATACGACCTTATTGGTGTTATAAATAACATTTTTAATGATAGTTTTTAATGAATATTAGTATGTTAATATCATTAATATTAGTATTATTTGTATATATTATTTATTAATATTGTTTTTTACCCCTCTATCTGCCAGGTTTTATAATATCTTGAAGTGTCTATTAGGGTTTTACATAAAATCAACGACAATAACAACAACAACGTGTCAATTAGGTACTTTTTTTAATGACGTGATATTGTAGCAAAAATGACAGTGTTCCAACAACAGTTAATAGCAGAATACATTAATGAACGGCAAAGGACATTGAACATATATAGATGCTTAAAGAAATAAAACAAAATAGAACATAAAATAGTGTATTGAAGACTTTCTATGATGCCTTTAAGTTAATCATTATGTGTATTTTGGTGGGATTGATTGGCAGTTTCTCTCTGCAGATGATGAGGTTGTAGGACGTGACAGCATCTGAAATGCACAATTGAGTTTAGATATACAATGTGTCTCTTTTCATTTGTTTATGTGAAAACAATTGTTTATGAAGGCCAAAAGTAGTACGTGAGCATTTCACAATGTTAAAAGGAAAATGTAATATAAAGTCAAGGGATAGCTGGGTATGTTTATGCATAAACCCTAGTAATAAAACATATCTAACAAAATTGACCAAAAACCCAATATCTTTGTTACTTACTTAGTAAAGAAGAGGAGAGTATCCTTACTGAACAGAGCTGGTCACACATGTTCTCTTAAACTAAAAAGAGAAAAGACATAGGAAACCAATTAGCATTTGAAAGTTATAATTTATAGACATTTTAAGAAAGAAATGATTTACCTGTTGAGAGTGTGTTGACAATCTGTGTAGTTGGATGGCTGAGCTCCAGAAAAGCAGTAATGAGGCATCTTAGAGTGTAGCCTCGGTTAGGGTTTTACATTAAAACAACAACAGCAATAACCACAGCAACAGCATGTTGTGTGAATTAAGTATGTTTTTATTGACATGCAAAATTATCAGTGCTCTTAACAACAGTTATTAGCTGAATACATTAATGAATGACAATTGACATTGAACATGAATAAATACATAAAGAAGTAAAACACAAAATAAGAACAAAAAATAGATGTGATGAAGACCAAATTTCAGTGAAACAATCACAATCCAATCAATATGATGCCTTTAAGTCCATCATTTTGGTGTGATTAAGTAGCGATTTTGACACTCAGCAGATGATGAGGTGGTGTGATACATCTAAAATACACAATTAAGTTTAGAGTTACAGTGTGTCCATGTGTTTGTGTAAAACAATTCTGTTTATGAAGGCCAAAAGCAAAAATTAACAGTTTGTGAGCGCATCTTAAAAGAAAAAAGTGATATAAAGTCATGGGATAGTTTTGATATTTATTGTGACTGGGTATGTTTATACATAAAACCAAGTAATAATTTTAAAAAATCTAACAATATGAATTATAAATTCATTGTCTCTTTTACTTACTTTGTATTAAAATTTTAAGAATGAAATAATTTACCTGTTGAGAGTGTGTTGACAGTCTGTAGTTGGATCACTGAACTCCAGAAAATCAGTAATGAGGAGCTTTGTCAGTTACAGATTTGAAACACAAAAAAACCATTTCAGCATGAAAGGGTTCTTCAGAATGCTATGGTTCTAAATATAACCATTACTGCATGTAAAGAACCTTTAAAGAACCGTCTTTTTTTAGAGTGTAGAAATACTTAAAAAATCTAAATACTTAAAAACAACAAATTATTATTCAATTATCAAAATGATTGAATGATGAAAATAATGAAAGTTTATTCAAAATAATAATAATAAATACTATAATAGTATATAAATAATAACTAGCTAAAATAACACTGAAATAGAATGTTAACCAAGGCTCAGAAAGACGCCAAGTAAACAATTTTAATGATGAAAATCCCATGGGGTCTGCTTTCAACTGCATTTACGTATTAACCTTGATGCCATATGCATATGCATCTGTTGTCATGTTAATGCACTGTCTAGCGTTCTTTGAATTGATTTCATTTCTTGGAGGCTTAGACTGCACTGGTTGATCTCCATAAAGTAAACATTTGAGGTACCAGCATTGTTGAAGCCAAACATGAGGCATATTTGAACTCAAGCTCAAAGCTAGAAATCAAAGCTAGTTATGGATTAAATC